GGTCTTGTTACACATCAACAGCCAATTATGAGGAAATAAGCACAAGTTTGTCTTGGTGATATCCTGAATAATAATAATATGCAGCCATCATTAAATTATTTGGAACCGTGTTTATTCCCAATGACATGCAGTTCCCAATAAGGTGTAAATAATTGCTGCCCTCCTTGGGAGGCGTAGCCACCATGAAGCAGTGAGTTGAAAAGGTCAGACATGTTCTGCACGCCAGCTCTAAAGTGGTTTATTAGCATCCCAACGACATATTCAGGAGATCGTCGGAGACATAATTACCTGGATAAGGTACAGATGAATACTGTATTTGGGGGAGAAGGCAAGGTTGGTTGGATATTGGCTTTGTCTCCATTAACCTGGAGTGCGGTGTTAAAGGATCTGTTTGTGGAGAGAAAATGACAGGGAGTCGGGCTGACGGGGCTGGACTGAGACAGTTAAAGGCCCCTCGCTGCATAGGATAATTAATAAATAAAATACCAGGGGAGCCCCTGCCATGCCTTCGTCTATGACAGGGGCTGTCTCCAGTGCGCTAAAGCATTAAATGACCAATTTCTGTCAGACTAACTTCCACCACGCTCTCTCTCCCTCTCCTTTTCTTTCTCCCTCTCCCTTTTTGCTTGCCCTCTCGTCTCCACTACGCTCACCCCTCTCTCCCCCGTTCCCTCCCTCGCTTCCTCGTTTTCTGAAGTGGGGCTACTTTGCTCTCTTTGCACTGAGTTTTTCAGCGACTGATGGCTCTAGTTCATTTCTGCTGAATTAATTGGTCCCTGAATGAATTCTGTTGACAGGGCAATTCATCATGTGTTTGGCCTGACAGTGACTGGGTGTTGGGTAGGGGAGGGGGGTGGAGGCGTCGGGGAGTGTGTGTGTGAGTGTGTATGTGTGTGTGTTGGGGGGGTGAGGTGGTGTGGGGAGCCAGTCAGAGGTGGTGGGGGTTGGTGATTGTGGCCTCCCACTTTTCTTTCTCCCCTCTTTGCCTCATCTCCTCTTCTTCCTCCATCCTGCTGGAGCTGCAGAAGGCTGGATGCTCTTGTTGCACTGTTTCCCCAAAACAGTTGGGACTCAAACAAATCAACCCCCCCCACCCCACCTCCTCAGGCTGAGCTTCTGTCAGACAGAAGACCCTCTCTCAGCTTGAAGGGGGCATGCAGGTCAGTGCTACCCCATTTTACACATTTTGGCCTTTTGTTACGCCCCTGCACACTTCCTGCCCAACCTCGAATCCCTCCCCGCCACTTGATGTGCGCACACAAACACCATCTCTCGCCCCACAGCTCCTCAGCCCTTTTGGAGAGTGACATAATCAGGTAGCGAGGCATATTTAGTGCTTAATTACACAATGTGTCGCACAATGGCCATTCAAAACGATAATTTAGCTCCTGAAGGGGAATCGCTCTGCACTGCTGACTGATCTAACTGGGATGGGAATGGTATAATAGCATATAGTTGGCAGATGAGGCCTGGGTTGAGAAAAAGCAGCAATTGCATCTCTCCAGACAGCTCTCCGACTGCTCATTATTCTAATTGCGAACTATGCTACAGTACAGGATGCACACACAGAGCCTGAGCATCCTTTGAGCTTGAACATGGAGGAAACCTCTTTAGGCTGTGTTGAGTCAATCAATGCTCACTCATTACAAACATCACAAAGTCATGTTCTTGTCGCCTGGATGGTCTCACCCGCCGACAGTGAAAATAACCTCATAATCATCGTTCTGTCAGGATCAGGATCATCAGAGACCGGGCTTGAACTCTCCTACTCCCCTGCCACACTGAAATAATCTTAGTATGAGATGATGATTTATTTCCTCAAGGACATTTTCACAAACCTTTATTTTAATTTTCAATTTCGTTCATCCTTGGACCAGGATGATAAACACGCTGTTGCTTCCTCAGGGACACTTCAAGACTTTTATATCTATTTGAAGCATATTCACTTTCAAGATATAAGCAACATGAGAAATAACTCTTTTCAACACGTCAAGTAGCTTCACATTATACCTCTGGACTGCTATAGTGCTTCCTCTCCTCATCCCAAATCCATTTGGGATTAACAGAGTTAACGAAGGCGGCGTTGTGAACAATACTGCGCCCGTGCAGCCACTAATTAAAGCCGCTTCTAATGAGGGCTCGTTGATTGACACAGCAGGGTTGGCCTCTCCCCTCGCCAGCATCAACTATGACAGCCACATGATGAGGCTGATGACAGGCTCCCATGCAGGCAGATGACAGGACGTCACTGCTAGACCACCACCACTCCTCGTCTCTGAACAATACCGCGCTCGTGTCACACCTCGAGCGAGATTCACCGAGTCTTGCTCTCTGGTCAATTTGAGGATGTTTACACAGAGACAGATCATGATGTATTGAATTACTGGTGTTTTCGCTGTACTTTGTCACTGTTTATTCTGTTTGAAGGAAACGCCCTGTCAGTTACTCGTGAAAAAAAGGAATACACCAATACTCTGGTACAACTAGTCCTGCAATCAAAAGTTAAGTTACATAAGTATCATCAGCAAATTGTACAACTGTATTTTAAGTATCAAAAGTAAAGGTACTTAGCCCTTGTGGCTAATAAATGATCATATGTCACATTATTGGATTGTTAATATTAATGCATCAATGCAAGTAGCATTTTATTGTTGTAGCTCGTCCAGGTGCAGCTAGTCTTAACTGCTTTAAACTGAATACCAGTGTTGGTGAAGCTACTTTGAAAGCAGAGCTTTGCAAGCTACCAGTTACCAAACATGGGAAGAAGTTAAACCATGGCAACAACTACAGGGAGAAAGTTTGGTTACCTAAAGCTTCTTGGAAAAAGTAGCTCAAACTACTTCATAAAGAGAATGATCAAGTTGATCGCAAAATGTAATACAGAATAGTCACATGCCAACATTAAATGCCACTCAGCTTATTGCAAAAAGTGGCCACTTTTTCTGAGGTCATATATAAACCAAGAAATTGAAACATCATCAGTGCTTATTGCACCAAGCAGGGTCACTCAGTTAGCATAGTTAACTTCTTAAATAGCATGCAAGAATATGTCTTAATAAATAGGAATAATCAATATTTAATTGTGGTAAAAGGCTCAATTACAGTACAGAAGCAATGGTGAAATAAAATTAAAAAATGATTCCCTTCTTTTATGGCCCAAAATTGTTAACTAAACAGAGATTAGCAAAAAAAGTTATTTAACTACTGAAATCACAATGTATATATGAATATACAATATAAATGTTGTTAAACAGCTAGGGAGCTACTGCAAAAGTAATCCCCAACACTGCTGTATACTATACTGTAGTTCAGTCCAGTGGTTTCCCATTGACAGAGTAACACGATAAACATGGGAAAGATGGGAAATAAGAAAAATCAAAGTTCAGTTACACAAATTTGTATACATTTTGGAATTGTTCCCCGATGTTTGCTTTTTGTGAAATTAATCTCTTTGGGCTTTGAGCAGTTATTTAAATAAAACCATCTAAAAAGTTTAGAAGGGAAATGTCTCCTTGTCCTGACGACATCTGAAATGTGACAAGGGACACTGCTTGTATTGTATTATCAGCCTTTCATGTTTTTAATGGAAAATCTTAATGAAGAATTACTAGTGACTACAGCGATCAGATAAACGTAGTAGAGTAGGAATGGAAAGTAGCATTAAAGGGAAAAACACCTGAGCACAAATACCTAAGAAATTGTGCTAAAGTTGAATAAGTGTACTTTCCACCACTGATGTAAGCTATCAATCGTATTTGAGATCCTTACATAGAAGTGAAATTTTAAAAATATATGTAGAATTTAATGCAATAAATTGCTGTCTGAATGAAACTTTGCAAGGGATTGCTTCAGACTGTGTCCACCAGCTCTTTACAGTGGGCTTATTTCACTGTATTTATTACCAGTGACAGACATGAATCATGCCAAAGAGGCCTAGCTGTAGGGCATCACCAAGCCAAGTTGACAATGAGGGTGAAGTGTTTGAGTAAATCTTGCGCGAGGCCCACTGGCCCCCGTGGCAGGGCCCCTCCGCGCGGGGTTTTGAGAAGCCCCGAGGATGACAGGTGCTTTTCGTAATGCCTAACTGATGAGAGCCAATCAGTGCTCCCCATTCTGCTGGTGTGTGTCTCTTCTCCTGTTGTTGTCATCTGGCCCGCTAAAGTAAAGATGAGCTTGACTGACAGATGCATCCGGGTTCACAGTTTATTGGTTTCTACGAGAGAGCCAGATATGCCAATTTAGACAGGGTAGTGACAAAAAAGTTCCCATCTAAATGGAATAATTTTACCACTGGGAATTCTCAGCTGGGAGAGGAAGGAGTGTTAGTGTGTGTGTGTGTGTGTGTGTGTGTGTGTGCTTTATCTTTTAACAAGGCCTGAATGACAAACACATAGGACAGTTAGGGGGCTGACAGAAACAGCAGCTTTTGATGCTTCACAGGGGATCCATGAAATAAACAATAGGCAGAGGAAGCAGGGAAATTGAATTACAACAATTGTGTGCTTCAGAGTAGAGAGTGTAGAGAGGAGGTGAGGCAGCAGCAGTGTGGTATAGCAGGATGAAACCGATGCATCATTAAATATACTGGAGTCAGAAGCCGGGGCAACGCTCTCCTGCCTTCCCAACTGTCCTGCTTCTTTGTCTCACCCTCCTGTCTCCCTTCCCTTTTTTTTTTTTTACTTTCTCTCTTTCTCCATCTGTCCTGCACTCTCACAAACACACGCGTTAACATAATGCTCCTTTTATCGTACTACTTTTAACAGGAGTCATAATGTGTATGATTTCTCCAGACATCCACACTGATAGGCACAAACAACGTGCTCTGCATCTATCATGTGGTTCATATTTGAGAGCTGTTACCCGTATGAGTGCCTCTTGTAGTCTTGACTGTTCATAAAACCAAACATCAATATACGAGCAGCAGGAACGCTCCCCGGGAACCTTGAACCCTGAATCATTTTCTTATGGGGTTAATAATGAGGGGACACCGAGTCAACGACTGACATATAAAAGAATTTATTTCTCATGTGCACAAAAAGAATTGGAACAGAACTGAAACAGAACAATGATTGAGGCCACGAGGCTTTCTGTATAGATTTTCATCAGAAATCCTTTTTTTATGTCCATGACACATCTCCTGTATCATCTTTACAACAGCAGAAGACCCATTACTTCAGAGGTGCTCCGCTTCCTAAAGCAAAGACTCCGCCTGAATGACGGTGGCTTGCACTCTGCGCCAGTGTTTCATTTTCCGATATGTCGAGCTACATGTAGACAGAAATAGGCAAATCCCAAGTGCAATTTGTAGAGGATAACTTCTCCTGAAGAGCAGGACCGCAGTCTGTTTCTCTGTTATCCGGTGCCCTCGGCAACGACAGTTAACCCTGGTACCAGATGATGTATTTGCTTGCGTGGATTTAAAGTAAACTTTATCTTGGATGCTAAAGAGTTGTATTAGTAGAGAGAGTGGAGGGAAGGAGGGAGGAGAGATGGGTGACTGGTAATAAGTGTGGATGTGTTTCTATACATGGAGGCACAGATGACTGTAATTTGGATTAACATAATGAGCACAACATCTACTAACAGCAAACAGGACAATATCTTTGATTGTTGCCAAGGACTTCAGTTTGATCGCGTCGTTATTTAAGGGAATTTGTGGAGCAAAAGTGAAATGAGAGAGAAACCATTTCACACTGGAGGTCTTTTTTGTACTTGTTAACTTTTATGCCGTTCTCCATGGGGAGTACTTAATCTGAGCCCAACAACAAAAGATGATACAGAAAGCCATTTAACTCATTGCATAGTGACATAAAACATCATCATGGCATTATCATGAAAACAAAATAAATGACAAAGACAACCTATGTGATGTTAGCATCTGAAACCTGCTGCTACAGCACATGTAGCCACAGGTTATACAGTCGTTGTGCCTTTTTTCCTCAGAGCACAACATTACATTAAGACACAAATGTAATGCATGTTTTTTTTTCAGTCTGTATATCTACAAAGGGAGCCAGTACATTAGTATGATACTGCAATGGTGTGTGATATTATTTACAGAGAAGAATTGTCTTCACATTATTCACAAATCATTCTACAAAGCAGCATTTTGTTGCAACCGATGGAGTATTGAGTCACTGACCTTTTTCGTTACAGTCACCGCGTTGTTCGCCTGTCGAAAAGTCACGACGTACATGTTCAGTGTCGACTACTTTTTTAAAAGATAATACTGCTTTATTTATGCATACATATACTGTAAATAAAATATTAAATATCAAACTAAGTCTTTGGCAAATGTAGTTAAAAGTACATTCACAAAATATTTTCCAAAAAGCAAAACTGAATCAGTATTTCCTTTCAGTCCCTATGGAGAGTAGAACATAAATCAAGGAGGGTGGTGAGAATGTGTTCGTAAAGGCAATTAATTTCGTGGAACAGGCATGAATTTACGTTGAAAAAACAGGTTTGTAAGGCAATTGTTGAAGCTAATTTACAGTTGGATCGCTCAACTGCGTACAGCTTTCTAAACTGTGTAGGCATCTAGTGGTATGACTAAGTAGCTGAATGGATTACAACCCAGGAGAATTTGTCGATGTAACCATAGGGCTATGGCTTACAGCCTCCTCACACAAAAACATGTCTGTCTGCTTTGTGTTCTTGCACCTACACTATCCAACATAACTGGTAGGTTAATTAATTTTAAGTGAATGTACCAAATAAATTAAATAAGCTGAGGTTATAGTGCAAAAAAAGAGCAAAGGACGATCATGCATGGACACGGACATGACTGGAAAATGAGGGCAATGTGACAACTACTCTGAAGGAATCTTTGATAGCCTTTTTTTACATTAAAAAATAGTGACAAGAAAAAAAATAATTTAAAGTATTTAAAATTCTGGCGAGGCCGTTTTTTTGTGGTCACCATGTTTTTAATACTTTGCAAAATGATTTACATTTTTACATCTGATTGTTTGCCACAGGGAGCGTGATGTTGCCATTGGTCTATATAGGGTCAGTAAATGTTGTAGGACATGCTGTGTTTATCCGATAATGTGGGTAGGACAGGAGAAATGGGAGCAGAAGACGTAGTCAAAGCACCAGAGTAAAGCCCGCCCTACAGCTCAGAGCCAGGATCTCATTAAGTGTCAAAGAGGCTCCGCAACACTGGTTCAAGCCGCTGCATCATCAAGCTATGGGACCATTGTCATCTCCCCTGGACTTCTCTCTTTAGAGCAGAAAAATACTGCAGTTCATCACATAAAAGGAATGTGAGGATCCATGAATAAAATAACAACAACAACAACAGCAACAAAGAAACAAAAATAAAAACCCACAACATTTTTTTCCACATGGTATTCTTCACACTGTTTTTCTTCAATTTATATTTTATAATATATATATTTATATAATCTCTTAAAGTCATTCTGGAAATGTTCGGGCCTGTCAGAGAGTGAGGGCATGATGGGTGAGTTCTGAACGCCCGCGGGCCCTTTTGACCCAAAAGTGTGTGACGCTGAAGCTGGGCTAGGTGCACCGGCGTCGACCTCGCCGATCCTTCCTCCACATCACGGGGGGTGGGGGGTGGGGGGTTTCCTTTAGGCTTCCACCTCGCTTCCCTTTGACCTCAGTGTTTCTCAGACGGGGACAATATGGAGGCCGAAGCCCTGGCCCTGCAGTTTGAGCTGGTCTCCATGGTAACTAGTGGCGGTCGTAGGCAGTGGCAGCAGTGGGAGGTGCGGAGCCACGGGATGCGGCACTATAATAATAAGGGGAACCTGAAAGTTAACAGAAGAACGAGCCGTTGGAAACCACGAGGTTGACAGTCATGTAAGATGCATGTGTGTAAAACTCCAAGCACAGAGAGCACATGGAGCCTGAAAATTTTTATTACTGTTTATGAATATGATTTTAATTTGGAAGTTTATTAATGTTACAGTATGTTTCTGGCATAAGAGTAAGTCCCTTACTTAGTAATGCTGGATTGCTGAACCGCCATGCTTCGTTGTAAGTGGTGTATTGTGGATGAGAGTAGGGGTTTCCGGAAAAGTCCCCTCCTGGAGAACAGATCTATAAAAACAAACATTAGCAAAGAGCTAACAAACTGAAATGACTGACAGCTTTTGTAAAATTTTAAGCTGTTAAAAAAATGTCTTTATACCAAGTTACATCACAGTTACATTACAATCTAGTGACATGTTTGCTGCACTTTTTATCCCGGCTGCTTGTACAGCTTGTCTCCGCAGTCCCTTCAGGTGAATTGATTGTTTTATTAATCCTCTGTTAGTCTTTAGGATTTCCTCTTTTCTCTCCTTAAGTGAGTGCTTTTCCCCCTCGCGTTTAAGCGACAATGCTCCGCTTCAAAACTCCCTAATAGGTTCTCTGAGGCTCTCATTCGCTCTTTGTCCTCCCTGTGCAGGTCGTGGTGGTGTAAAGGACGGGAGGCTGAGGGGATGTCAGAGAGCGATGCTGTGGGTCCACAGGTTTCCTTCTTTTACGAGACTATAAAGGCTGGGTTTTATATGAAGCTGCTGAAGAATGGCCTTTGCTTTAACAGTGTTTGGGGCTGATCACTAAATCTTAGTCATTCGGCACCAGGTGGAAAAAAAACTGCAACCTCTGGATTAAGGTAGCAGTGCTTATGTGCTTGTGTGAGTATATCCATAAGCACTCTCCAGTGGGATATAATCCAATAATGCATAAGTAATTTTCTGAATTTCTAATAGCAGCTTTTACCCGCATGTATATCCTAAAATGTTACCTGAGTTCACTTGTAAATACTGCTCGCCTGCTGTGATTATTGGTCAGTGTGAGAGGTACATGTCTCTGAGCAATAAAAGGAATTGTGTTTTCAGTTGTTTGGAGAAGAGATCTACACACGCTGGCAGCTATAGCATCCCCACTGCTGGTCGTGTAACTCGAGCTCATCCCTGAGAGAGATAGTGATTTAAATATTTACAGGCCCTCCACGCCTCTGTGTTTTGACCCTTAACTGTTTGCTGTGAACCTGAACTGCAGGTTAAGTAGAGGGGAAAGAGATACGCTCTGCAGCCCTGGGTGTCCGGGGAGGCGAGGAGAGGAGCAAAAGCAGTGTTTATCGACGGGGCTGGTGAGAGTGCGCTGTGTGGACACGGCGAGGGTAATGAGCGCTGGGAGCTGGAGTGTAACTGAGAGGAACTGTCCTATCACACGGCCACTGATTGTGGTGATCGCCTATCGAGTTCATCTAATGTCCTCGTCCGCAGACGCTAACCACACGCTAACCGCAGTCTAACAAAGCTATAACAAGCTCACTTCAATCCTTTGGGTCAAGAGCAACGCTTTAAGGTTTCTTTAGTCTCTCAAATAGCAAATGTGTTTTTGTGTGTGTTACATGTATACTGTTAAAGACGTCGCAGGAAAGCATTACCACTTGTTTAGCTTAAAGTGACCTCAATGAGATCAACTGAAGGGGACTACCTACTGAAAATAAAACCCATAAAAGTAAAATTAATGGCATCATAAAAAGGGAGTAGTGCCACCTACCAGGAACCATTCCAGCGAGTGTGGAGGTGGGGTAGCTGCCTTGTCCTGTGGGGGGGACATGAGGCGGGTAGCCAGGTAAGGTGGTGCTGGCCATGTCTCGACCTGCAGACACACAGAAGCAAAATCCTTACAAGGATGTTCGAACACACAAAAGCTGAAAATCACCGAAGTGAAGTCATGCATATAGTCACCAAGAACTGTGAGCAATAACAAGCCGCTGTCTGTCATAATGCACCATGCCATTTAATTTCTAACAGTATGCAAGATCGCTTTGCAATAATCTAAAGAAAAATAGATGCAAATGTTGCAGCACATTTCATGAAACTGCATGATGTCCTCCATTTTTTAAACTTCTTATCCAGTTGGGTGTTGCAGGGAGCTGGAGCATTCACTGGGCAGTAAAGTTATCGTGTTATCATAGAATACAACTCCTATAACGTTAATACACCAACGTTGTAAGCAGCTTTTAAAACTGACAGGAGCATTGGGCCAATGAGAGCTCTCTCTGCTCCACATTCAGTCCTGTAATTAACAGTGACAGTATCGGGCCTGGCTGGATGAAAGGGCACCCAGGACAGGGTCCAAAACAGCATCAGCCCTACATCTCTGCCTCTGCATCCCCCCCTTTTGGCCTCCTCTGGCCCCTCAGACTTTGTGCCTGTCACGAGGCTAGAGGGACCTGGAGACCTTTTGTTAACCCGAGAGACGAGCAAGGGGTCAGAGCTGGAGAAAAGCAGGGTGGAGAGGGGGACAGAGCAGTCGCCGTTAATGAGGGGCAAACAGTCAGTTTTGCCACTGTGTACTAAACAGTAGCGCCACAAAGCATGATGGGATTGATGGCTTTGCAGCGTGAGAGCTTTGATTCAGTGTGTATTTGATAAATGAGCACAGAGGTAAATCAGCTGAAGAGGGTGAGCTTGATTGGGTTTTGATCTGGTTACAGGGTCTTATGGGTAAAGATGTACCTGCTATAAAGGGCTGGCTGGCATACTGGCTGTAGCAGGGGCCGTGGGCATGGGCAGGGTAGCTGGGAGTAGAGGCATCTACAGAGAGGCCGGACTGGTGGGGCAAGATGTCGGCTAGAGCAGAGTCCCCAACAGAGGAGGGGGTGAAGGGGGCAAAGGATGCCTCATGGGGCTCTCGCTTTACACACATGGAGGGTGGATGTGATGGGTGAGAGTCTGCCAGGTGGGAAAAAAAGAAAAAGAAAAACTAGATATGATGCAACGCCACACATACTGTACATGCATTCACCTCAGTCATTCAGATGTATGATGGGTTTGTTGTATAGCTTTCTGAATTTCCAAATAACCAAAGCTTCTTTGCAGACGTAGAAACAAATCTCGTGTTGCAGCAGACGTTTTTAGATTTGCCACGCATGTAGCCGAACACACCACAACAGGACATCCTTAGCAGGTTTGTAGTATGAATTTAAGGGAGCCTAAAAGATGAGGAACACTACAAAAGGTGCTACTTTACATTAACTTCCAACTCAACTCCAAACATTTCATATGAATACTGAATAGATAAGCAGTTGATTTGTTCATTTACATAGCATATAATAATAATCTCATATGCACCCAGCAGTAATTCATTCAACTAAGTGGAAACATACACCAGTGAAATGTTGCAACAACACATCGCGCCTGATCAATCAAGCTCAAATGCGTAAAAAATTTCCCCAAGGTTTTGGGGAAAACAAACAACATAATCTCACGGCTGCTTTCTCACAACAAAATCACTCCCACAAATAACCAAACAATCGGCTCGCAGACAGTTCAAAACTCCACACTTTGATCTAATTTGGCTGATGAGTCTTGGCATCTTTCATTTCACCGGCTCTGCCTCTTGAACCTATGCAATCAATGTGAGCTCTGTCTCCGGCCGCTCCACGTCTGCTGCAGAGCCCGCTCTGTTCGCTGGGGCCTGTAGGGAGAGATGGCTCTTTCCCGACACCATGATAGCCTCATTAGCTGCTTCCCCCATCATTGTTATTTTACAACAGGACTGTGTGTTGCGATTCCTCATTAAGATAAGGGCTGTTCTATGGAAGGGGGATGCAACCCTGTCAGCCCCATGAACCTAATGCCAGGGAACATAACTGACTGCTTTCCCATAGAAATCTGCAGCAGGTTCTCCAAATCTCTTTGTCTTTGTGACAGCTGGAAATGTAGATTTAGACTGAGGTACTGCAATTACACACTTTCATCTTAGTGAGACAAATAGCATCGCTGTGGAGTGAGCAGCGCAACGTTTAACAATGTAAGTTTTTAACTTATGATCAAATCATTAAAGAGAGTGGTTGCCCGAATCTCTGGCACGAACAGAAATATTCTAATGAGTGGGCTTTGCATTTAATTGGATGGACCTAAAGTTTGTCACATGCACTGTACAAGTATGTCATGGATTTATTGGAAACAAGGAACGATTGCAGTTGGCTAGCACTCAGTTCAGTTCTTCAGTTAATTATATCTAACATGTGCTCTGTTAAAGTATTTAAAGTTAAAACAGCTCTCAAAAGTTCAGTTTGCCAGTTAGGTGGATTTGGTTGCAAAACAACCCCAATCGCCAAAACAGGCCTTTGTTGGATTAGCCTCTGTCAGAAATGCCATAAAAGCACTGTATTCAACATACACCTTGATCAGCAGCATTTCGCTTTTTACTCACAGAGAGCCTAAACAAGAGTAAAAAACATATGCTATAAAAGACATAATCCACAAGTAATAAAACATAATCCAATGACTGCGTGTCACGATTTAGAAAAGTGGATTGTGTGTTTGTTAGTGAACCTTGCTCATGCAGGTACAGTATATTATTGTTCTATGGAACACTTACTTTTTGTAGAGTTGCCAAAAATATTGATTTATTTCTACATGATGATTCTGAATACTTGCAACAATTTCATTGCTCATTTTTTGCCGTATTGACATACCTATAACAGCTGTACTTTCTCGCTCTCTCTTAATGTTCATGACAGTCATTCTGCTGTTCTCTGCTACTAACTAAGAAAAGATTAGTCATTGCTGCCATGTTATAGTCTTGTTATATTTATCTTGTGATAAAAAATGTAGTTGTATGCCCTCAATGTCAGTTTTTCCCCTCGTATTGAAAATATTATCCAAGATCAACATTTTTCAAGGTACTGAATTGAAATTCCAGTATCGTGACAACACATCATGGCCCACCTAACTATTGGGACATTAATCTGAACTTAAGTAAAAGACTGAAGGTGCCAAACATGAAGCCCAGGCCACGTCTGTTTACACTATATGTGTCTGAGACTTCCTGCATACCACTGTAGGCTTCTGTTTTCTCAGTGCCTGAGCAACCGTTGTCAAACAGACAGTGGTTACGACGCAACAACAACCGATACAAGCGCTGCGTTCAAGACCACTGAACTCTGAAACTAATCAGACATGGTGTTGCTTATTGTCCTGGAGACGAGGCAGAGCCCGGGTAAAGGGAGCCTGTCAAATCACAGGCCCTGATGATGGAGATGGAAGATAAACTCAGGGTCCTTGGGGACTCTTCTCCCCAGCAAACACTGCGAGAGCTGAGACGCTATAGAGTTCTCCAACATCTGTCTCTGCTCCACCACTGATACCACATCTACAGAACCCATCAACCATAGAAATGGACTGTTAAGAACCTACAACGGTCCTCGGAGTGATGCGTCCAGATATAGCTACAACAGCCCGCTCTCAAGTGAGCATTTCATCTTTAAATGCACACCGAGGAACTTCGCGGCGAGAACCATTTACTGGCAGAACTCTTGTTTTCAAAGGCTGACACTCAGTCGACAGAGAACTTTTTCATTCCTGCAAAATGAATCAAGATCACAGTGAAACTTGTGTCGGCAGGTCAAAGTCCTCCAGAGTGGAGTCAGAGGATTAAATGTTAAATTCACGTTTGCCAGTACAGCCTCCTGCATGTAGAGGTGGTCAATTATAACCACTTACTCCAGAAAACAACAGCAGAGTGAATATGAAAGGCCGCATCCAGTTGTGTGTAAGGACTATTTGCAGGGCCAAATAGCTTGAATTCCCCATCCACAGGTTTAAAGTCATTCATTATCAAATGTGTGCTCAAAGGTTAGCGTGCTATTGTGGGGGGTGATATAAACATTAATTTCCAAGCTCGGGGCTGCAGGCTTTAACTGAGCTGAGACACACCGTTTGTCACCAGGCCACACACCAGGCACCGCAGGTTAGGTGGCTGCTTGTTGTTTGCCACCCAGCAGAGGATGGCAGGTACTGCCAAGTCATAAAATGGGCTCAGAGTGTGGTGTACGTTTCAGCTGAAATTAATCTGAAATAAAACAGGGTTTTCTTTCCACCTCATCTGTACAGGTTTATCATTATTCACTCACAGGGAGAGAGAGAAATAGATAGGTAAGATGGCAGATAAAAAGAAAGATGGAAAAGCATTGGATCTTCACATCTGCTAGAATTTTAGTAGGTCAGAGGGGTGCCCATTTACACCCAGCCTCCCCACAGGCTGTGGTGAGAGTGATTATAGAGCCCAGCCTTCACTGAGACAACTGTACTCTCATTGGGTGTAACCCTATTTAACTACTGATAAGTAGCTGCAATATCATGCTATGACTTGTTTCATAAATTAAGCTTGTGTCGGGATTAAAACAGCCAAAGTCATAATGGACCAGACCCTTTACGTTGCATAGAAAACTGTGCAGATACGTAAATGCTAGATCAGAGCTAGAGACCAGGGGTTAATCCTGACATGTTGTTCTAACCATGGACGCACTGAACAGTGCACAGTGTTCTTCCTCTGGATGCACACACACAAACACATACTCCAAAGCTTACATAAAAACCAGAAACAAAGTTCCCTGTTTACTTTTTACCCAGTCGAATATGCACAGTAAAAGTATAATCCAGTTTAATATAATCTACTTGCCAAATTAGCAAGAGGTTGCATTTGTTATAGGAGAAGATAATTTCCATTCAAATAATTATTGACGACTTAATTATATTTTTTAATAAAGATGGTAACATTACAATGATTTTCATCCACATGTTTAACATCTAAAGACAGCCATGTGCATGGAGAAGAAACCTTTTCTAAATGAGTGGTGCTTTTTACTGAGTCCCAGCGGTGCGTTTCAGTGCCCTGAATCTCTCTCTGACTTGGCTGCCGCCCTCCTTCCTACAGTAGGTAACCGTCTCTTTCACACATCAGGGTAAACAGAGGACACAAAAGATGGCCGACATTGCTTTCACTGTAGCGCCCTTGGAACGCAAAACTGAGCACTTCATTAATCATTCATCTTTAATAGATTATGCAAATTCCAGGACATAAAAATCAACAAGATCAATAACTGTATGAATTTTAATTGGGAGCAGAAAACATTTAAAGAATGAATATAATCTTGCAGCTCCATCCAGTATGAGAGCATAATTTATTGATAATTGGATCCCAGCCTAAGTGAGGAAGGTAATTTAGCATTTTTCAGCCTTGGCATACATTCCTATTTACAGGGTTTGCTAATGGCAGAAAAAATAATATTATGCAGTAACAACCTATACCCAATCAAAGGCTTCATGCATTACTTTGCATAGTCGTTAAAATTAAGTAATAAAAGCTTACTGGATATTACTTCTGAGTTTAATTTGCTGCTCAAAATACTCAGACGCATTTTATAATGCTTACGCTAAAGTGTGTTGTCATATTCCACTCTTACAAAAGTTTTCTTATTTCGCCTGCTCATTATGCAATCTGTGGCCCTCACATGTATCGCTTTAGGAGGCCCCTGGCCCCCAGGTGGCTTGAAGGCCACCTGCTATGAGTGTGCTCCCCAGAGCGAGACCGCTTTCATAGGAGGAGCCCAGCATAAAAGACAAAAACACACCTTTCTTCTCCTGAGGCCCAACTTTCTGGGGCAAATCTACCTCCCACATATTCAGGAATAAAAAAGGGGTCTTTCTTTTCCCATAGCTCTGTGTCTGGGTCCGGGGCTGGACTGTAGGGATCATTTGAGAAGGGCCACTGCAGTTTTCAATCACACTGTCCTCCTCTTTACTTACTCTCTCTCACATACACACACGCACACACACAGTGGACTCATTGACTTTGTTGCCCACTGCATAATTATGGGTGTTTTATTAAAAGACTGGCATATTACTCTCCAGTCAGTGTGGCCATCAGTAAACCTAACCTCTCC